TCATAAATCTCATAAAATTAAATCACAATTGACCATAAACCTAAATGAAAAATTTTAAAATGTTTATGCGTGACAAAAAAACCGGAAAATCTCTGTGTGTGACCTTCTGTTAGCAGAGTTCTAGAATTGATACCAAAAGCCTGATCTTTAAAAGAAAATAGTTGATAAAGTGGACTTCAGTGTTAATCTCTTTTGTTCCCCAAAGTGCACCATGGCAGGAGCGAGCAGACAGGGTACGGATGGGACGGCAGAAGACATTTGCAAATCTGAGCGAGGCACGTGTGTCCAAAAGATATACAGAGCTTTAGAAATCCGACATCAAGAAAATCTAATTCAGAAAGGAGGCTGAACATGAAGAAATACTTTGCACACATGCGGTGGGAAGGAGCTTGGCACTGTGGGTCCTGAGAGAAACTCGGTGATTGTGACCCGAAGGGCGGTGTGGCCAGGTCAGACCCGAGCTGCTCCACCCGCTGGGGAAGGAGGGGCTGTGACCCTGCAGACCATAGCTGGCAACAAGCACAGCACACACAGGACTTGGCCAGTCCCCAGCGTGGGGCGGCCTGCAGTCACCGCACCCCGTCCCGTCTGTCAGGACGGCCCACCCCACACACCAGTGGCCTGGGTGCTGGGAGTGCCCAGCCCTCAGCTCCCTCCATGCTGAAGAGCTAGCCTGCAGGCCGGCCCCACCCTCAGCCTGCCCGGGGGAGCCTCCTGTGTGGGCCTCTGCCACAGCACAGGCCTGGGGCAGGACTCACTGTCCTGGGACCTGCTCTGACTCCTTTCCCAGGCAGCTCCCAAACTCCTGTAAATCTCCTGGGATTTTAAACCTGAGTACGTGCTCACAGGGCTCACTTCTGGAGAAAGAGCAATAAACACTGAGCTCTCAGCACCCGAGAGCCCCGGAGACCAGCAGGCAGCGAAGCGCAGTGGCAGAGACCAGCACTGAGTCGGCCTCGGTGTCCAGCACAGCCGGCATCGGGCAGCGACAGTTGGCAGGCAGCGACCGGCAGCTGGCTGTGCGGCCCCTTGGCGTCCAGCTTCGCTGGCGTCCCCTGGTGACATCGGGACGGCTAGCGGAGCTGCAGCTGCCCCTCGGGATGCCACCTGACGGTGCAAAAGAACCCTAGGCTGGTGACAACGCCCCACCCAGGGTCGGGCCCCTCATTTCCAGTTCCGGGGGTCAAGGCCAGCAGGGGCGCTTGCTCCTCCTGAAGAAGCCGAGAGCCTTCCCCTGAGCTGACTGATATGGTGGTCTTCCTTCTTTCTCCTCTTCTGCTTCCCCTGGCATTCGGGGTCTGCTCTGGGGACACTTTCAGGGTTTTGTTTGCTGTCAGGCGCACCCCCTTCCATTCAGTTTGTCCCAGCTGTGGCTGAAATTTCCCACCCCAAGTCCAGGTTTCCCTTGGGCCTGGGGAGCCTTCGTCTTGTCCCCCTTTGGGCAGTTGGTCTGGAGAGCCTGTCTTCGGGGGCTCTGTCTCCCCACGTCTCCGTACGGGCCACGTCTGCCGTGGTGCCCTGGTCTGGTGCCACCTCCTGGCCCCGCCCCCTTGGTGCCTCTGTCACCTCGCACACCCTCTGCAGCGGCTCCGCGTGGCCCACACAGCCTGGGCTCTGTCCCCTCATCTCCGGGCGGCAACTGCCGGCTGACAGCGTCCTCCGTTCCCAAGACGTCTGCCCGGAGGACCAAGCACAGATCCGCGCATCACCCAGCCCTCGGCCACCCCACGCAGTCCACAGGCTGAGCGGCTCTTTGTTTCAACCAGTGATCAGGGGCACCCGGGACTCAGCTCAAAGCACCAACAAGGAGGGGGCAGCAACAAGGAATGCACAAAAACAAGGAAAAGGACAGCAACAGAGGAGGGACAGCAACAAGGAAGGGACAGCAACAAGGAACACACAAAAACAAGGAAAAGGACAGCAA